ACTCATTAAGAAATACTGGGTTTTTGATGAATGGCAGTTATGATACTATTATGAACCCCCAAAATACCACCCTCCCGTCAGAGTTTATTTTTAATCCAGTAGGTAGCAGAGAATATGCAGTGCACTAGGGCAAAAGAAACAAGTACTCACAAATGAGCTAAAGCAGTCAAAGTATCTTTTATTTCTACCAAAAGAAAGTTTAAAAGAAATAAGGTAAACCATGAATTAAATGGCTTTTACTCTGTTTTCTCCATTTTTTGTTTCTGAATATTTTCTGTGGTCGCCTTTCACACTTCCATGACAATGTCTATTGCAGTGCCATGTTTTCTACTTCTGGATCATACAGAAAATATAGATGGTTCGTGAATTTCTTTTACATATACCAAAACTGTAACTTTAGAACTCTTTAAACAGCAATAACTATGCAAGCAATGTCATTCACGAATTCCTATTCTTACGAAGACACACTATCTATTACAAGAAAAAAACATTTGCAAAAACCTAAATCAATCAATTAGTAATATATAGAAGTTACTAGTTTAAAACAGGAAGAGAAATAAGATCTATACTTTGTTCCCTCCACCCCTACTACTCTGCACTATTTAGGAGCCTGACTGCTCTCTTCCAAAACAAAGTGAGCAAACTGCCCGAGGCCTCCCTTCCTACATGTGGGAGGAGCTGCGGGCCTCGGCCCTGGCCGCGGCTCTCACTTCTGCTCTCTCTTCCTCATCTTTCAGAGCCTCCTCATAGAGATCTGGTAAGCCACTGGGGACGGTACCAATGATCTTGGCCAGAAACTCCAGCACTTTCATCTTGCTGGTTTCAGCGTGGGCTCTCGGGCCCCACAGGAACTCATAGCGCGGAGGATCGCTGTTGGGCACCTGGCGGTACGTCAGGTACTTCTGCTGCACGAAATCTTTGCTGATGAGCCTCCTGGGCTCCCCGAAGATCAAGTGCCTCTTCCCAGCATAGTAACCCAACCCATTGAGGAATTTCCAGAGCTCCTCTTCGGTGGCACGGTTGCCCTTCGTGAAGATCGCGCCCAGGACAGTCATGAGGAGACCGGACGTGGGCATCCTGAGCTCATCACTCGGACTTCCCTCGCTGGGGGGGGGCAGCTTGCTGATGAAGGCGTAGGAGTGACTTCTGGGGTCGACTTCCTTCAGCTCGAGGCCAAAGACCGCCTCCATGATATCAGTGGCTCTGCTGAAGATCTGAGGGAAGTGCTTCTTATACTTCTTGTTGAGAGTCTTCAGCAGTGCTGCCTGCAGGATGGGCTCCTTCGTTATGTACTTCTCCATCAGGATCTGCACGAACATTGTGGACTTCCTGCTCAGAGGATCTCTGCAACTGCTGTGAATGGAAGGTGCTGCCTGGGAGGTACCTTCACTTTTCTCATCTTCGCTCTGGGCACCCTCTTCAGATCCTGGGCACGAAACCCCTGCATCACGAGAACTAGCGGCTGTGGCTCCCTGAGGCTCCTGGTAAGTGCCAGCAGCAGGGGAGCTCGGGGGAGTATCCGGAGAAACAGAAGCGGGTGAGGAGGGCGACTCTTGTACCTCTTCTGCCGCCGCCGCCACCGCCTCAGTGGCCTGGGCACCCTGGAGACTCTGAGTCTCCCCCTGGGCCTGGTGGCGTTTCTTGTGGGCATGGCGCTTGCTCTTCCGGCCTCGAGGCATGATGACACAGGTCAGGGCTAGCAGGCGGGAGTGTGCGGAGGAAGCCAGGCAATGAGGGCACCTGGGGGAGGGACAAAGAGACGCTGTGAGCACCTTCAGTGGGGAGATTCCTCCTTGGTTTTAACCAAGGCCGCCTCTGCAGCATCCTTGGGGGCACTGCCCGAGGACCCACAGGGCTCCTGTTCTCCTGCTCAGCCTGTCCCCTGAGACCCCTGTGGAGGACGGTAGAGTGAGCCCTGGGGCACAGCCAGCCAGCCCTGCCTGGGCGGTACTGGGGTGACAGTGGGGGCTGGCAGGGGAGGTAGGTCCCCACGGTTCCCATTCAGAGTCAGGATGACAGTTGTTGGCAAGACTACCCCCCCATCCCCTCTGCTGCTCTGAAGTTGACACCACCATCTTCCACGACACCCAGGAGGAGGAAAGGAGGGAGCGTTCAGCCCACCACCGAAGGGTCCTGGCACCCTCCCTTCTGCTGCCTGGTGGCTGCCCCTTCAGAACAAAGCTCTAACCTCCCTCGGACCTGGCAGAGGAAATTACGGGCAGTCTCAGTCTGAACCTGGCAGAGGAAATTACGGGCAGTCTCAGCCTGACAGTCCTTTCTTGGGAGTTTAAGGGTTGACAGGAGGGGAACGGGCCATATTCTCTGTTGTCCCTTCTCTTCGGGGTGAGTGACTCCCTTAGTCCTCACACGGGGTCCTCCCTGGACGGCCGGTGCAGCCTGGAGCTCCTCTTGCCCCGAGGGCCATCTGCTCGCACCAGTGCCGGCACCTCCTTGAGTCTCATTAGGAGGCAGTGAGGGTGACCACGCGGCCGCATGTGGCAGAGTTTTACCAAGCCTGCAGCGTGCGGCAGACAGGTCGAGGCCCTGTGGCTGGCGGCCCCACTGGCCCTCACTCAAGGGCTTGGGCTGGCTCTCGGGAGTGCTTAGGGACGCGCCTTCCGCTGGCCTGCACCTCCCCTCTCAGACAGCAGCCCTCCCTTCTCCGTGTGTGGCCAGAAGGAAGCGGCTGACAACAGGGGAGGGGTTCGGAGGTGCCCTTGCGACGGGGAGGACGGTCCTCGCCCTGACTCCTCCCGTGCCCTGGAAATCCTCCCTCTGCTGACCTGCGGCCAGCCCCTCAGAACAAGGCCCCCTCCTCCCTGGGTCTCCCGCGTCCGTCCGTCCGTGTTCGCACTGAGGGAGCCCCGCAGTCTTTAGACTTGCCCGGAGGCTCCCAGGCCGACGTCAGGGGTGGGGTCCGCGTGGCCGCCATTCTGGGGTGTGGAGGCCCCCGGTCCCCACGAGGGTCCCATCGTTCACACCACAGGGCCTGGGGCGCTCCCTCTGCTGAGCTGAGCCAGGGTCCAGCAGCCTCAGAGCGAGGCCTTCCTTGCCTGAGAACCCCGCGGCGGAAGCGGATGGGCTTTGGGCCTAACAGCCAGGCCCGAGCCTCTTGGGCCGCGAGCAGGGGTGGGGTGGGCGGGGCCTGTGTGGCCGCCTCTTTTCCGAGGGAATGGGGATTGGGGGTGTCGGGGGCGTGTCCCCGCACTTCTAACTGGGGTCACCTCATACCTTCACACCTGATGAGACGTGGCACTCCTCCCGCGGCTCACCCTCGCTGGATGGCAGCTCTCAAAAATGGCCTCGCCCCCACAGCGTGGTTAGGAGGACGTCACTTCTGGTCCTGCGCATCTGGGCTCCAGGAGGACAACAGGGGCGGGGTGGGGCAGGACGGTAGGTGGGGGGTGCTTCCGGGGGAGCTTCCCACAGGCCTGGCACGAGGGCCTTCCATTGACTCTTGGCAGGTCCTGGGACGTTTGCCTCTGCTGAGCCGAGTCAGCAGGCGTCACACCTTCGCTCTCATTTCTGTCGGCACCCCCAGCCGGAAGTATCTGGGGCCCTGAGCCTCACAGCCATGCCTGGGTCACCCGAGACTGACAGTGAGGGCTCTTTGGGGCCCCCTCTTCTATGGTGCATGCTGCCCTCAATCCTCTCTCAGTGTCTTCTCTTGACTCCCTGCAGGTGCTGGGCTACCTCCCGTCTGCTGACCTGAGGCCAAGGCCTCACATCAAAGACATCAACTCCCTGAGACTGCTGGTGTGAAGTGCAGGCACATCTCATGTGGACACTTCTGCCTGGAGCCTCCCAGAGGTGGCTGCTGCAGGTAAGATGAGCTGAGGGGAAAGGAGGCGAGACTCTCTTCTGTGGTTTGGAGCCCGTCAGGTCTCACTCAGGGTCCTCACATTGACTGCTGGCAGGGCCGGCGTTTCCTTCCTTCTCTGGTATGAATCCATCCCTGTCCCCAACCATGCCCCACAGAATCCCAGAGG